TCGTAAATTGGAAGTAATTGTATCAACGGCTGTATTATTTATTTGCGTAATTCCACATTGTGCAGACAGAAGACAAAAACGGAGGTTGTCGAAATCATTGTCATCAGCCATGGTCATTCCAGTTGTGGATGAAGGCATCGCCACGTTAATGCCTGCACATAAACTGATTGAATATTCTTTTGCATATTGAAAAGCATATTAATTTAACACACTGCGCGTGTTATTGCTTCAAAAATCAAGTGCGTAGGCCATTTACGCGAGCCAGTTCGGTAACCCACACTTCATTTGGCTCATATTCTGCATTCTACCGCTCTCATCAAACTGGCATGAATCTCCAGTGCCATCGGGCAGATCTAAAGTGAGTAAATGTGCAGTCATTTAACGTTGATATTAAAACAGATGTCTCATCAGCTTAAAGTGCAACCACGTGCACAACAGCACACCATCATGTGCAATTTTATGAGCCAGTCACGCATATGGTACACATATCCATTGCACTTCAAGCGTACATCTAATGGCATGGGGTGGAGCGGTGGAGCAGTGATGCAGTGGTTATCACATTGCACGATTAACCTGGAAACTCGAGTGTGATTCCCGGACATGACTAGCATCAGTGGAGAACGATATCCATACCAGTATTGGGCGTATCTCTTCAATCCCAGACTGAGCAAACAACCGACCATGACCATAAAGGCATAGGAAGACCTTGATTCATCAGTGGATGACAAAGAGCTTACAAAGTTTGAAATCGGCATAACTTATCAATACTTTATAGTGATGCATCACTACCTGCCAATATTATAATAAGACTGTATTATAATAACAATTTAAATTAAAAGTCTTGGTAAATAAGAAGGCTTCCAATATCCACTGGTAAGCAGATATTAATTGACTTTAAATATACTACTGGAAATTACTGTACAAGCAATGACTACACACATATTGTGCGGTGGAAAACACTTCACGACATAACATAATGGAGCATTTCGATGCAGGCCTATTTTCTTAATTTGGTCATTTTTTGTATAATATTGGGGGCAATCTACTTGTCAAAACATCATCAAATGAAAAGAGATTAAGACAAATAAGAGCACGGTTACATGGTTAAGACAAAAATGTACCTTTTTTATCCAAGGAAACTGTCAAGGAACCAAGAAGGGTCCTAAAACGTAATGTGTGATGTTCGTAATCACTCATTTAAAACAAATCAATTATCACCTTCATGGTTAACAATTTCAAATAGATGGTCTCATTAAAGGTGGTGGGGGAGAGGTTTGTGCACGTGTGAACTCGGTGCACTTTTGGAACAAAATTTAATAGCTGGTGAGCAGGAGGATGCTAATTTGGGACTCATGAGCAATTTACGACACAGATCGTAAGTTGTTAATTTTAATCGAGGATTTGTCACTTTGATTAATGCATATGTCTAAGCCCAAAGCACCGGAGCTTATTTGCAGAAAGGTCATCTCTCATCACTTGTAACATAAGTACAATGTCTAACACATCCCAACTATAACACAGCATAGCAAAGCTTGCATAACAAGAAAAAAAAGCAATTCAAAAGTTGTATATATTTATGTGCATTATAACTAAAATGGTGTCAAATTATGAGATTTCATCCACGAAAATCCAAATCGCAAAGCGTGTTCCACAAGGTTTGGTGCTTGGTCCGATTTTGTTCTCTGTTTCTGTAAATAACCTTGGACGTAACTTTCATTATTCAGAAATGAATCTCTTTTCAGACGACACAGTCACGCTAGTCTCAGTCAAATCCTTACATTAAGTTCATCAGAAATTCCATATGGCAAAACCAATGCACTTCCCTGAATCTGGTTCTCAATATAAATAAAACTCAGCTTGTGCTTTTCTCGCCAAGGGGAAATCTGGTGGCTCTTGGAAACCACAACTTTCAACAACAAACGACTACTCGTATTTGAGTCTGTTGATAGATTCAAAAACTGTCATTTCAACACCATATCGACCACATCTCAAAGAAAAAAATTAGAGTTTCTGTATAGAAAAAAGCACTGCCTACTGGTTCAACTACATCCTCAGATTATATGGAGGCTTCTATCCTGACACTCCTTGAATACTATGATGTAGCCTACATGTCAGCTGCACAAACTCAAACCATTGTCTCACTCTATACTTAAATTTGCAATGGATGCGTGTCCATTGGGCTGTATTCATCTTTAAAACAATCTTAGTGGCAATTCTGCACTGTATAGAGCCAACTCTAACACCATAGGCAAACCAGAGTAATCTATGACCAACATCAAATTGTTGGTTGACTGCCCCAAAAGTGAGGACTTGGCACCAAAGCTTTTGCTGTTGTAGCACCCACCTTCTGGACTATGCTCGTATCCTCTCGCAATTTAGTTAATTTCCAATCAAGAAATGCCCTTAAAAGCATGCGTGATGTCAATTACATCCACATTTGCAATTGTGACTTGCAACTATGATTTGACTAAAATGGCGGGTGGAATTTACGCTTAATTTGGTATCGTTTGTACCTATTTCTGAAATATTATTTTCAATATCATTATGTTATTTTGTTGAAGTTTATGCACAATTGTTCAATGAATCTACCTATGTAACATCCTCTGTAATTTTATTCCATTGTCAACCCTAGCTTGGGCTGGACACCTGGACAAAAAGGCACTTTATAGGCGATGGAAAATGTAAAAACGCCTTGTGTGAGAGCCGATCATTATTCTAAAAAAATAACCTGGCTTATTTGGAAGAAATACTTTTGTACCATCATGGCAGACCAGACAAAAACCACAGAGAAGTTGCCAGCTTAAAGAAGAACTACATCTCAACAGTATAGGAGATATCTCTTTGTACCTTGCAAGCAGAGGACATTTAGGACAGGCGATTTGTGAAACCATTCAAATTCTCTTATCGCAAATCTGTCCCGTGCAAGATGGCCTATTTGACCAGCCATCAGTGGCAGACTTGATGGACAGGAAATCCATAATGCATTTTGCACTTGTGCAGCCTGGTGAGTATGTGAACAGCAATCCTGCACACACTTGATTTCTCTGATTGTGCCTTGTGTTAAATCCACAAAGAGTATGCATTAGATATATCCAAAAGCATTCCAGCATTCATTAAAAAAATATCCATCGCTGGTGATAAGAAATGCATGACAAACTGACCTCCCCTTTACCTTCACTGACAATCATGCACCAAAGATCAGAAAAATGTTACATTGCAATTTATATAAGCATCCCAGCATATTATTAAAATAAGAGCATATTTAAAGTGTCAGTCACTACATGACTTTGTTTAAAACTCAAATTAATTAGCAACGCAGGTACAAATTATGTAAGGAAAAACTGTTAATTGGGTTATCAACATTATAATGATATTCTGTACTTACTATTAAATCTTGTTGCATATGTTTACGTTGAAAGTAATGTACATTAATCAAATAAACGAAACCAAAAGAGCCTAAGAGATATCGGGGGAGCTTATCTTGAGAATTATAAACAAAGCGTACCCTGCCTCAAGTGACAAGGTCACAGTGCTCAATTGTTCACCCATAAGAAAAGCCAGTGGGTGAAATGTGACAACTGGCAAACTCGATATCCCTTGAAGGACACATATATATATTAAGGATCACATCCTTTAACCAGGCACTTATCAGTACCAGATGTATTCTCTCTGTTGTATCCCAACACTTAGAATGATTAAGAAAAAATTAACTACATTATCCATACTTTATCCTTCCAGGTTCCTGCATTGCCCGGCAGTCATGATCAAGCACGGTTTGCAGATTGTAAGTGCACATTTAATTGCGGTACATTGTGTGTTAGCAATATTATTCCTGTTGTATTACAGCATTAGATCTCCTTTAATTTCAAGTATGCCATCATACGCAGGAATGATGTGTTAGTTATTCATTCTTGTGGTGTTACACAATGAATATACTTCAAATGTATGCTTATTTACTTATTTGCCGGGCAGTGGTGGCTCTGCACATGGCTTAGAATCCAGCACTTTTGGAGGCAGCAAAGGTTGGTGGATCACACAAATGTTGTGAAACTCCCTTTGTGTGGGCATTGTGGAGGTGCCGTACCCCAGCTTGCCAGAAGGAGGCAGTACAGCAAGTGGACTCATCGCTATCTGTAGCCATCTGTTTGGGGATAGAGTGGGTTTTCTGTCCGGGTACTACGGGTTGCTCCCACTTGTATAATAAACACTCATCATGAATGGGTTGAAAACATTTTACAATCAAAACCCAATGCAGGACCCTCCTGCATTTGGTTATGCAGTTGTTTTTGTAACCACATCACACATATATTTTGAATTTTAATTACACAGACTACTTATATTTGATCCTTGCGAGATTTGAACACACACTCAAGCAGGCATTGTGCTTAATCCATTTTTTGTAAAATAAAATGTTATGAGAGAACACATTGCACACGTTGCAGTCCATAAAAATCCCACGTCACTTATTGTACTAAATTAGTTAAAGTTCTGAAATAGCAAAAGCGATACTGTGTATTGCACGTAGGAATGTACTAGACCTTAGCACACTCTACATATTCACATGTTTTGTGACTTCAAAACAGCAATTTTAACCGTTGCAATTTGTTGCAGACTTACAAGGTGCAGTAAAACAAGTAGTACTTCATTTAATTTGTGCAATGATATAACTCCAACATCGATACACACGGCTGACAAAAATGGGGCTAACAAATAAGCCGAGTGATTAGTCATTCCAACGTTTTTGTACCGCTTGTCCGAAGCTTATCAATGGCCCTTCACGAATACGAACCTTGTTTTCTTCCAGTCATTTCTGCTGGAGATTGATTTGGATTAAAAAAGGCAGTGATACTCTAACGTTATATTGCTGATTGAAAAACTCTAATGGTCTATAAAGGTAGAATATCAATCCAAGTGCCATTGGTGACCCTATAAGCCCTTGCATGCATGATGCATGGCGAAGTGGGGGAAAAGCAACAAACGATAAAACAGTACACTCATACCTTGATCGGCCACCATCAGATGCATGATACCTTGGAGGAGAATGAGAGTACAATCAGCCATATAGAAGGGGAACAGAGAAGGGGGGTGAGAGAGGGAACACAAGAGAGAAGGAGAGAGATAGAGACAGAGACAACAAAGTCTGCCATCACAATAACATGTTCAGTATTGTGACCGACATACTAAACAATGTATGTCTAAGCACCACACAGTCCAAAGCATTAAACACTGAAGTGCTCAATGCTTTTCCAAAGATCAAGAAGAACAAATCAATAAACGGCTATTCTTGCTAATCATCACCTGACGACTCGCTTTTAATGGTTTTTATAATTGATGCTGAATTTGTTTGGGAAGAAAAAATATTAAAATTCACTCCAAGTTGGGATTATGCCTCAAACATACATTTGGCTCCATTTGTTAAAATTGTGGATTTTAATATCTTCACAGTCATAGTGATGTGCAGTCCCATACTTTTTAATGGTGTAAGTCAATGTATAACTTGCACACGGTAGTTGTGAGAAAATAAATTCGGAACATATTGCTATTTCCTCGAATGAAATGTAAAATAGTAGTTTATTGAAAAAAAGTAGTTTATTGAAAATGAGGAATGGATTAAAAAAAAAACTTTTTTGCAAATTACCATTTGTTTTGAATGAGGGGTTGCTTTCACATAGCTGCAATAAAAAAAACTATGCTTGTGTATTCACTAATCTCTACATTCTAAGCAACATCAGTCTAAAATACCTACCTTCCTCAAAGTTGACATCTGACAGCATAAAGCAAGAAAAGAAAAAAGTCTTTGTTAGGCATGCAGTTGACAATTGTCTTTGCATGACAAATGTCATGCAGAAGAGCGAGCCCACTGGCTCGCGGATGAGAAAGACAACCAGCATATAGAATAAAAACTTATTCTGTGATTCTAGGCACTGTGAATCACAAGCAGACAGCACATTATTGAGAAAAGCAACAGTACACGAACACTTATAAAAATGAGAGAATCCATTCCTGGGGAATACACCTTTGGAGCAGAGATATAAGCCACACACAGAACGTCTGCAGACCACAGGACAGAGTCATAAGAATGCAGCTCCTGTAAAATTTTCCCATGTCGAGATGGCATGCGCAGCTCAACTGATAAAATTTTACTAACATTCTCAAGACTCCAAAAAACTTTTGTTAAACAAAAAGAATAAAAAAAACGCACGCCCCACGCGCTATCAAATTCAAAGCCCACTTCTGTGACGTTTATTGGCAAGGGAAAGCGTGGTGAATTCTACCACAATTGGGTTTTTTTTTTGACGAGCTTAAATTCGATAGATGTATATTGTGTATCTGTGGAGTTTGCGAAATCAGGTTCGCCAGCAGAAATTTTTGGTTGCCAACATTCATCTTCAACATCGTCATCACTCTTCCCAGAGATCACTTGGTCTTGAAAGGGTTACATTTAAAATGTACCTGTTAGGTGAATAAGTTAACATCACAGCATTTCATGTCATCACAACCTCATGGCGATGTACTTTAGTGCAATGCCCTCAATATGCAATGAGAAGACAACTCGTACAGTCGTATTGTGTAGATCTGTTCACCATGTGATATTTCAAGAATTACGACAATATTCAAATACGTTTATAAGAAATAAACCTCAACTGTGAATCACGTGAAAACGATTCTTTAGAACATAGTTTGTCATTTATAATCAAGTTTTAATTGTTATCATTGATCATAGATGGCTATTATACATTACACGTTAAGGGACTGTGGCAGTGCATGGTGGACATTTCATAAATATCACAGGAAAATAACATTCAGACAATAAACAATATTCCATAGGGATTGAAAGGAATTATGCAGGATCCTATACACATTAAATATTCATGTAGGATTCTGCATAGCATTTTTGAAAACTCAATGGATATTGGTTGAATTGTGTTTGGTTTACATCAGATGTATACACTGCATATGTTAAAATTGCCTCACTGTATATACTGGTGCGAACTGAACCTTATACTCATCAAGGCCAGTTATAAATTATCCATGTTAAAAGATAGAATTTAATCCTTATGGTCCATTTATTTCACCTAGTTTAATGTATTATATGTTAAGCCGAATTAATTACATTCACATTGAAATCGAAGGTAGATTGAACATGCCACATTAATGAAAGCGTTATTTAAACACCAAATAGATTAGTAGTGACCAAGTATTTGGAATAATGTAGAATCCAAACTCTGTTACTTGTCAGGCAGTAGAACCAATGACAATTGCTCCAAAATCAGACTGCATTGCTTTTCATATTAATACACATACAAGACGTTATAAATGCATTTTTGTACGCAGAATCATTTCTACATTTCATATTGTATATATAGCGTTTAGACCATATGCATTGCATATATGAGCTTTTGTATTTGACGGAGGTTACAGGATGAGTATATATTTTATTATGGATGTTGTTAGTTCCTCGTGTCTTTGTTTACTTTTACAAAATATATGACTGTGTTTTGTTTTGGCTTTTTTTTTTCGGCTCAAGAAGATGCGATGGGTCTGCACGTAATTCTTTTCCCATTTCGGAGCATGAAGAATTGCAATGGGAATCCATTTTGGGCACAGATGGATGCTCAGTTCCCCGAGCCATGTGCCAAAATCAATAGTTAATGACTCTTCCTTGCAGCTGCCCTTTGACAATACACGCGGACATTTACCATAAATCCGTAGCGAGCAGCATCGTTTTGTCAGTCACGATTCCCTACAACCAAGCTCATAGTGCCATGCCAGAAATGATGTATAGGGGTCTGCATCATTAGATGCTAATTATTGCCCTCAAGACATTAACACCGTATGATAAACCCTTTCTCTGCATTTTGACAATTACTTAACAACTGAAATAACCTGTTTAAAGGTATTGCAGCCGTTTTATATAATGTAATTTGTGTAGAAATTCATGACCAAACTGCACTATAAGAAGGTGTCATTAAAAATCGATTTTTCGGTTTTGACCACGTAACGATCTGACCAAATATGTGTTGGGGAAACCTCCACCAACCGGACAGCCCAGCCAAATAAATTACGTTGTTACGTGGTGCACACACGTTTTAATACATCAATTGTGATTATTTCAGTTCGCCACCGAGTTGAAGACCAATACTTCAAAAGAAATTTAGTAATGGATGCAACTTGTCATTTGAAAATACATCAAATATCATCAGGGAAAAAAATCCAGGACCTCAAAATGAGAATCCAGGAAGTGAGATGACCTACCAAACGTGTTAAGCAGTTATGGGTTTCAAACCTTCCATTTCAAACGGTATAATCGACACAAGGAAATGTATTGTAACATTTCAACTGGCAATTGATCTTTGGACAGCTTTACCTCAGACTTGACCGTCTTAAATCCTTCGACAATTACAAAAGGTGTTTACAAAAAAGGAAACATTTTAAAGAATCCATGCAAACTATGATTAGGTTTCACATTAAACAGCTAATAATGTTTTAAGAGTTCGTGGTGCCAAAACTTTTTCTTTCTTTTTTTCTTTAAAACAGGAAAATTCTGAACATTGACATTCAATGTTGTTTGGGTTCCCAAATTTTACGAAACAAAACAATGTAAATCTATGATGCAGGTTTTTGCAGTGGCAGCTCTACGACGATGAGTGTTTTCGGGGTCATACTCTGTTTTTCGGCATGGTGTCGCGCCGAACGGCACGCAGGTACGACCCGAGAACACATCAGAGAACCATAATTGAAAGAGTTTCTCAGATTTAAAATATCAATTGTTTTTCATCAGTCATAAATGACTCGCACATATAAAATGGGCCATGCTTCTTTTTTTTGGTGACTACTTCACAATGCAAGATCGCTTCTTGAAAGCAGTGCAATACTTGCTAGGGGGCTTCCATAAAGGGGCTTGTTTAATTGAATGTTATGTTACGTGTAATTATATACGGCTTTTAACGTTTCTCATATGTGAGAATTAGACTTAAATATTGGCAATTTATACAAGTTTTGCTAAATAGTTTTTTGGTATTTTTTTGTAGAATTATTATTATTATTTTACACTTTATTCCAAAACCAATCAACAATGATATCTGTAAAATAATTGCTTGAATCACAATATCCCACAATATAGTTTTTTGGGCTCACATCGATTGTTAAACTTAAAAATTAACTACACTGGGGTTTTTCAAAATTCAATTATTGTAAAAGCTGCATAAAACTGATCCATACATGTTAAGCAATTGCCATGCCTGTCAAAAGTTACAAATAAAAACACGCTCTTAAATGTTGCTTTTAAAACGTTCCATCAAATTAATGATGAAATGACTAAAGAGTCAATGAAAGTGATTTAGTTAAATTACCCCCCAAATTTTTGTGATTAAATTACAGATATAAATAGACCTTTTCCAATAAATCTAATTATATGTGCACACCCTTACTGAGAAACAATTAAAACTGACATTGCACAAACCTTGCATTTGCTTCTATATGCTAAAACTAATTTTTGGAGTAATATTCCACAAGAAATACAATGTAAACAGATTTTCCATGATATAAAAAAAGTTTAACTCAGTGTTGGCACAAAGAACAAGTAAAACCCATAATACTTTGAAAATTAAACTACAAATGATTCATGCGATTTTTATAATTTTACCATTAATCGTTTTCACTTCAGGAGTTATGTAACATTTAATTCAACAGAACGATTAAACCGGTTAATGTTTTCATAATAAAAGTTGACAAGAAAGTTGCGGCAACATGAGAACAGCTGGCGGGTTAGATTGAAAGCCACTCGGAATCCAGGGTGGGCTGTTGAGGCAATAAATAAGACGTTACTGCTCGCCACCCCCTATAATTTGCATAACCAGCTGATGTTCTTGTCATTGGAACATGCGGTCCGAAACGTACAGTCTCATTAGCCACCGGCTCTGTCATGGAGACATGACAAATATCTGCAGTAAATCTGCTCGGCGGTTGGCCCCGTTGCCATCACAACACACGTCTGCGGTGACTGTCACTCATTGGATTGTAAAATGTATTGGCAAATAAATAACAAAAAAAACATCGATGTACCTGTTACCTTCTCTTGCCCCCCCCCCTAGATTTTCATATTCTTTTCGTGTGTGTGACTATCAGCGATTAGATAGCGTTTGCTCGTGTCCGCTTTGGTTGCCTTGTTTAAATAATAAAAAAAGACTATGCTCTCCTGAAGTCTGACAATTCAAATGGGAATGTTGTAGTGTATGTATAATGAGGCCCATTATGGGAATTTTTCTTGAAAAAATCATACGTGCAGTTATTATCACTTATTAGCATACTGCATATTACCTACTACAGATGCACACATAGTATTAGCATACACATTACTATAATAACACAGGTTATGGGTTTATTCCGAACTGCTCCCAGGGCACACTATTTTAACATATTTGTGTCAATGAACTAGGGAGTGTGATTATCCAATATGTGTTTAGGTGATTGCCATAGCATGTATAATGATATTCACAGGGAAATATCAAGTTTCCCAGAAATTCCAGCAGGTGGCACTTAGATTTCTGATATTGGCATATATTTTAGTTATACCACCCAGGTGTGTATTTTTGAGAATTTTTATCATGGGAGTAAGTGCGTTTTCAATTCAATATCCATCCAATGCCACGGCTGCTTGGTAAATTATGTGTCGCATGTCACCCCACCGAAAAACTGTACATACAATGGTTGTCAGGTTTATGTTCTTGGTAATATAAATCAGTCCAAGAAACGTGTTTAATAGAGCAACATCATTGACCCAAGCCGGCTGTTTTAAACGTGAACCAACAGAGATCAATTAATGTTGCATTTTGTGATATTATTTACACACACACCGTTGAGATAGCCATTGTAACCTGCAGAAATGCTCCTGTATTAAATCTCCTTGAAATGATTATTGTTTTGAACTCCTCAACAAGACAACTCTTACACCATGGGAACCTCATTGGCCAGTAAAAATATGATAATTGGTTTTTTACCCTTCTATCTGGTCCAACCCATGTGAGACTAGGCTCTAAGGAAAGCTGTCTCGGGTGTGGACCAATCAACTTCAAGGACAGTGCACATTATCAGAGTTATGTTTTTTGTTTGCATTATGACTGCAGGTATTGTGGTCTATGCAAACATGACTCCTTGTAAAAAGGTGTCAGTTTTGTTGCCAGATAGAAGGGTAAAAAACCAATTATCAAGACAACTCTTCTTTAAATTCGGCAGCAGAGCATTTTTTTCCCGTTGTATTCTCTCTTCATGCGGACATCTTCCGACCATCACTTTCACCTTAATAAGAAGGTCATGACCCGTCGACCTTGGACAAGCCGTGCAAGTGCAGCGAAGTGATCAGCAGTAAAGCGTGGTGTTGGCACGTGACGCGAATTTCCCACCAGTTTTTATTGTAACAATTCACTCATAAAGTTCAGCTATGAAACGGTACAATTGGATTACTTCTCCACTTTCGAGAAAGAGAGACAGTCGCTTAACATTGCCATTACTACTATTATTTTGTAGCTATTATAGACAGCATTAAAAAAAAACATGTTTGAGGTCAATACTTGAATGTCATTTTTTTCCCTCGGTGTCAAGTTATTGAAGAAAGAAATTGCCCATGCATGTATATTTATTAAAAGGGAATTCTGCTGCATGTACTGTAACAATATAAGCAGAGCAGTGGTTCCAGGAAGGGTGGGGGAGGTTCGGATGCTGTATATAAACGCATAAAACAATCATAGCATATATGGTGAATGTGCATCAGTTAGTCGCTGTGAAGCAATTTGCTTTCCAACGATGGTTTGCATCTGCTGCATAGTACACACCTTCTCCAGGGGTTCCTTGATTTGATCTTACTCTACCATGCATATATAACACATTCTGCCAAATTATTAAGCAGAGTCTACTATTACAGTATACGCGTGTTCAATACTTGCAGTAAAATAATGCAAATAAAACAATATAAATTGATGCATTATGGAAAACATTGCGGTGGAGGGAGAACGCATCTTTGTTTAATGTATTTAGCAGCATAATTTTGTTTTCAAAGGTGGATGCTACGTGTGCAGAGTTTAATTCTAAGCTCTAAATGTTCAAACTACGGTATGAAGATGTCCATTCATATGTATTTATTAGTATTATATTTTTACGTAAAAATCAACCATATAAGATTACAAATATTCAAATTTGTAATTTTACGATCGTGTATTAAGAATTATGTACTGACATTAGTACGTGAAACTACACAAGCCCAGAGATTACACATTCTGTGGCATCAGAACATTCGGCTCCGCACTGCTCTTATTCCTCCCATTGTCCCCCAAAGACAAAGACCCCCCGTATAGCCTCAACAGACTGATGGGGCAAGTGCTATTCGCCGAGCACCTATGAAGGCCGGAATGGTCGGCCAACACCACACCCGGCCGCCTTTGTCACCCCAGTGGCGATGTTCATACACCACACTGGGTACTCATTTCAGGCTGAGTTGACCTCGGGGAGGCCCAGAACCCGTTCAGATAATCGTAATTGGTGTTGGCCGTGAGCGGGAATTGAACTCGAGCGACAGGGTACGTAGTGCAGTGTGCTAACTGCTCTACGGGCGGCTTCCAAATGCCCTCCACACATGCTCAAACAAGCAATGGGGGTGATCATGAGCTTTAATTAGAAGCCTTCAGCAGCAGCTTCCGCATAGAACGTTACTCCAGCAAGTAAAACCAATTGACTCAATCTTCTTATTATTACTAGGCGTGTGGTTGGAGTTTTTAAAGTGACTATTATTCAGGTTTGGGAATGTAATGGGCTTCCCTATACATTTGTAATCTACCGGATTAAATTGTATTTGTTTCGTTTTTTAAACCCCTCACCACGTCTAATAACACATTTATTGCAATTTAATTTGAGTAAAAAAAAAACAGTCTAATGGCCTTTTTAACCAAACCATAAAAAATGTGCATGGAAAAAAGATTACTGCGAGGAAACCAAGTGTCACGAAAACAAGACGAGAAGAGCAAGTAAAGCCCAGAGGCAATCTATTTACCCTCCGCCGTGTACCGCCTATCCCCTGCAGAGCGTGTGTTATATTAAGCAAATGCAGCTCATTTTCAATTTGGAAAAGCAAGAACACACGAGGCACCCGTGTGGACCATTTCAGGGCACTTACCTTCGTGACAATAGCGGCCCTGGAAGCCAGTGTTGGAACAGTCGCAGACCACCTCCTTGATCTCCACCGAGCAGACGCCGCCATTCTTGCAGGGGTTCTGCTCCTTGCACACCTGATGCCATTCGGCCCGCACTCCCTTGCTGCTAATGAGTATCGGCGTCGAGTGGCCGTACTTGAGATTGGAGATGTATCCCTTGAACGACGGCAGGCCCTTCACCTCCTTCGAGGTGAGCTGCTGGATCCGCTCCTCGGTCGGGATTCCTCCCAGGAAGAGGTCGCTGCTGACGCTTAGCTGCTGCCCCCTAGACACGACCTCCCCCGAGACGATCTCGTCGTCCACCGCGAGAGTGATGTGCTTCAGGCGTATGCTGATGAGCAGCGCGTGCCAGTTGTTGTCGTCGATGCGCTTCGTTGCCCTATGGATGAGCGGCTGCGAACAGTGGATTTTTATTCGTAGCTGGACCTGGCCACCTGTGACTATGACCTCGAGATAGTCGCAGATGCCGGCGTCGTCCACGTACAGCAGGAGGCCCTTGGAATTGTTGGTTTTGAACTGAAAACTCAGGTTTCCGTTTCCACTTTGGTCCCATCTCAAATACCTTGTCGACTGATCGGCTTCACCGGTGAACTCCAGCCCCATGGACAGATTTGTTGTCACGAAGAGGCACAAACTGAACACGATTGCACAGCTCAGTGATGACATTGAACGAGTCATCTTCGCAATTTGAAGTGCAATTATGTATACGTTCAATATGTAACACTTTTTTGTATGTTTTAAACTTGTGTATTTTTTTTTGTCACCTAAAGTGCTAATGGTTTCCTTTAAGCAGCGAAATAGGTATGAAGGTAAAGCGGATAAAAGCTTTTAGGGGTGGGGGGGGGGGGGTCTCGGAGGAAATGCAGTTCCACCTCTTGCCTAAGAGTAATATAAAATATGAAGTCTTCCCCCAGACAGGTACAGCTGTAAATCACACTGATGCACAATCTTGCTGATTCGGCTTTTTAAGATTCACTGGAATTTCCAAGGTGGTAGAACACATAGAATCCATAATGGCCACTTCCAACCAGTGATTTCCTGCTCCGGCTGAACGCTACAAGGTTTTTCCCTCCTCCCTGCGCAGTCTAACCCTGGAGGTCTAATTATTATGCGGCAGCTGTTGTTGCTCTCCTCGCCAATCTCTTACAAGGTGGTGGCGTTGCGCTTGTTTTCACTATCCTTTGGCTCTCGGTTCAAGACAAAAAAACTTAACTCCGCGATGCAGGAATTAGTGCTGCGGGCCTGAAAGAGAAATAAGGTCATAATTACCTGTTGTAAAAAAAAAAAACACGACACTTTAAGAAATGTGACATTTTGAAGAAAGTAACCATTAGTGGATATTTTATAGAGGTCACTGTGGAGCAACAGTGTTTGTAAAATGCTCTTTAATTTTTGGCTATGAAAGTAATTATACACTGCCATATTGCTCTACGATTGCTTCTGAGCACTGCAAGAACCCGAACACATTTGAATTTCGAATATTCTTTGGTTGAACCAAAGAGGATGTATGGATCCCTGCAGTCACAAAAAATTTAAAATATTGCTTCACTATTATTTTAATTTTAAAATGCCATCACGAATGTAATTAAAACAAGAGAAAATAAAGGTTGAATTGATATGAACAGTTGTAATTATTTCTAGATTTGAAGCTTTCGTGATTGCAAGGATTCATACTCTTATGTTTTTTCGGTAAAGTCACGTAGGTAAAAAATCACGTTACCTACGTGACTTTACCGAAAAAACCTAAGAGTTGTAATTATGTATTGTTCCTCTATTCATGAACATTTTCCCATTTAAGTATATTTTGTCAAAACAGTACAATATATATCTATTTTTAAAGATGAAATGAATAACTGCGAAAAACAGATTTCACAGACAAGTTTTAAAAGACACAACAAGGGATGAGAATTGGAGATATACGAAGTACACATCTGCCATCATCCAAAAACAATTACATCGGAATCCTTTGGACCAACTCAGCCCATAGTCCTTAGAGGGTTGGAAACCATGGCAGCCAATATCCACCACTCCCTCCTGGTCCTATAGCCTGAATTCCATTAGAAAAATGTAATATAACACATCACAAGCCATACCCTCATAGCTCAGTAGGGAAATATTTATTTATATGCCATTTGTTTATATGGATGTTTATATATATATTTATTTTCACATACATTTGGTGACTGCATAGAGTAGCTGCAAACGGAATTTCATTTCTGCGGAAGACACGGGGCAGTGTTTTGCCTTGCCGATAGTAAAATGACACATAATCAAACACGGCAAACATCCACCTAATGAGCAATCTTGCACGCGCTCTGAATGCAAAATTGCTCTTGAATTGAGGTTTCAGACATGTGGTAAATCATTAAATGGCAAATCAGATAAAAAGTAAAGATTACAAAGGTAATAAGAGAAATACAAACAATAGCTGTGGTTTTCATGTTTGACATGAACGCAGATAGTGCCATCTGTACATAATATTTATCTTTGATAGCTGGAAAGTCAGTTTTTTCGTTTTATTCAAAAGTACTACATTTAGAGAAAATAAATAATAATTCACAGCCATTTGCCAATTCACTGCTGGATGAAGGCCTCACCATACCTCGTCTGTCATGAGTGTTTGTTTGACCGTAATTCGTCGTGCTGGTGCCTTGTAACTGGTTCACATATCACTCGCGAATGACATTAGCCATGGCCTGGAATCAAACTCAACCAGCCTGGTCATAGCGCAGTGCGCCAGTCATTGCGCCACCACTCAAACCTCGTCATTATATTTAGTCCGTGTAAATAATAGAATGCAACAGGAATGTTCGTTTACTTAGAACATTTGATAATCAATGTATTACAAAAAGCGCAATTTAAAGAATACTAAAGCAAAACATTGCATCGGCATCTAACATGTAAAAGTCATAATTATTTCAGACACTTTATTTAAGCTTTCATTAATATGCTCCATAATGGTTATTTGCCCAGGAAAGCCTCACTGAGTCTCATGACTCTTTTCAGCAGGGTCCTGCCACACGTTTTCACTAAGGGGGCGATGTTGCAATGTGTAATCCCAATTGAGTATATTGCGGGTAATTATTTTATCATCTGTTTGGAATGTTTGGCCAACACCAGTTACAATTTCATGTTTTGTTTTTATTGTGGGAGGAAAATGGAGAAGTCGAGATAATCCATGCAGAAAGGAGCGAGAAACACATTCAAAAGCTACAGACAGAAAGGCACCTGAATCAGGAATCGAACCCAGGCTATCACTTGCTTTGAGGAACACGCCTTACCACTGCGCTCGCCTGCTATGCATTATCTTCTTGGTTCTTTCGGTAAAGTCACGTAGAAGGGAAATAATAAAATAATAAAAATAAAACATAATAAAATACAATTCTCACGATGTTTTGGCCACAACGCAAGCAGCCGTCCTCAGGTGAATTCCCATAAATATGCTAAATTTCTCTGTTGATATATAAATTGTTTTGTCAAGGCGCCCTTCCTCCCCTAACCCAGCTTAAATATACGCTGCCAAGCCTGGTGGTGTTCATTCAGACGCTGTCTTTCTGACAGACCTGTTCTTCACCTGAGGATGGCTGCTTGCGTTGTGGCCGAAACGTCGTGAGAATTGTATTTTATTATGTTTTATTTTTATTATTTTATTATTTCCCTTCTACGTGATGACTTTACCGAAAGAACCAAGAAGATGAATCCCTGCAGTCACGAAAGCTTTAAATTGCTATGCATTACTTATTATATTATTTAATCATAACGATAACTTTCAGCACTGCAGCAATCCAGAGCTAGATGAAGGTCTCCGCAAAGCCATGGTAGTTTTGGGGGCTTGCTTTGACCATACTTCACCATGCTGGTCAGCACAGGACCGGTTCAAATATCACTCACTTCAGATGCTAGCCGTTGCTAGGATTTTAACTCGGGTAACCAGGTTTGTAGCGCAGTGCGCTTACTCACAAAAAATCCCGTCAATATGTATTATTTACAAAGTACCAAAGAGTAAACAAATAATCAAACATATTCAGTGAAGGAATGCAAAGCACACACTATATATATATTTTTTTCACAAAAGTGGAAAATAAAACATCTCCATGCAATGTTGTGAATGTTTTTGTTCTGTAAATTATCACGATCACAACAGGTCTTGCAAAAAAAGACCTTGAGATTCATTGCACTGCATTGTTTATGGATATCACAAGATCCTTATTCAAAACCTGGCCGAGTTGTAATTGTTTTAATCAGCAATGCATCGTCGGTATTTTCTTATCGACTCCCGTGAACTCTGTCATTTCAATGCAATCGTGCACATTAAGAGGCAAGGGTGTGTCATTTGTCACATTATAAACAAATAGCCACTCCAGACCAACATTACCCACAATGCTCCTCGCGTCATCAGAGCTCAGAAGCTAAGCAGGATTTAGGCCTGGATAGTGCTTGGATTTGGCGAGCAACATGCTCACAGACAGGTTGTCACAGGGCTCTCAAGCTATGTGTTGGGCAGCAAAAGGGTAATGCAGAAACATCTATTGTTGTACTGAACTTCTATGCTCCATCATCTTCCCCGCCTTCACCATCCTGCATTGACCGGTATGGTGAAAAATGGACAAATAACCCCCATGAACCTGCATGGTGTGAGGAGACCCTCATCCAGCAGTGGATTTACAAAATGGCTGTACATGATCACCCAAACCAACAAGCACGCACAGCACAGATCGTAACAACTCCTGAAAATATTATTCCCTTCAGGTACTCAATTATTTCGATTTTAAAAAATATATACACGAAAGCTCATCACTGAATGTGCTCTATCAGTTGATTTATGGTACGATTGAGCAACATAACATCTGAAATATGAAACATAATTCGGATAACATGTAAGCCTAACAAGCATTTTTGCAACAAAATTAGGCGGTTGCTTTCGACAAAATTTGTTGAAAAATATTATATCATTTACCCGTATTTTCATGAGCAGGTACATTTCACTAATGGGTAAATTCCGATTGATACATACTAGCCTTAAGATATGTACCTATTTAAAGCCACCAATCCCCCAATCACTGCAAACGTGTTATTAGACAAACTAATCTCTTAAGAGCATAGAGACAGAGTCTCTTTAATTGCAAAGCACATGCGGCTTATATATATACATGCCTTTGGTGGTGTGGTTGTCATGGTTAGCAACCTTTGTAAATAAAATCAAAATGCAAATCCACAACACATCAATAGTGTATCTCTCTCTCTCCGCGTATACCAATCATCGTGGCAAACTGATTGTGAGAGATTCCCTTGGAGGTGACAGTCGGAGCTGCATTCGCACACAGCAAGCATTCCATGAAGGGCAATTTAGAAATTGTGGGTTGGTTGTCAAATCTTGTCCCTGAGAAAGGCAGAGAATGGCCTATTGTGGCTAACACTAATATTTAACCACCACAAAAATAGTATCATGGCTGAGTGCGCCCAAAATTGTTGAGGATCGGTCCTGAAGAGGCAAACCCCGAGAACCAATAATGCATCGCATTCACTACTACGCACAACCCACACACACCAGATGTGGCATGTATAATATTAGACAGAAACATGTCATAAAATCTAACACATTAATTCATAATATATTGTTTTCGACGCACCCCATTATGCATGTAAACAAAATGTAATGTGAATAATGATACCGTTTACACTATATATATATATAACAAAAAATCTACAATCACTCCAGCATTGTAACCCTGTATCAGCAGAACAATAATAATAGTAGCAACAGAAGCACGCGATTAATGCACAACAATAATTAAAATGTTCACATTTCCACGTTCACAATAATTTTTCAAAGCAATTTACGTGCTATTCCAGGCCGTCAAGAAATTTCGGTTCATCGCATTGGGATGCCATAGTCAGAGGCACCACGACACCCAACATATATTGGACGTGTCAAAAAATAAACACAGCAGTCAACAAAGCAATTCCTCACAAGTGAACTGTTAGCTGCAGCATTGTGAGCCATGGCAATCATCGCCATTCATTGACACACACCGCATTGCACTGTAGACCATTCCATTTTGTTCCATGTTGTGCATAATGTATACACACCCATCTGATAATCCACCCCTATGTAAACACACACACACACTGACAACACTAAGCCATGGGCTATTATATTCGCGTAACAAAAAAAAACCCGTCGAATGCGTACCAAGGCACCCACGCGCACGCTGTGCCACGAAGCCATTAATGACATTTAACGCCCGTCCCGTCTAATAGATCCGAAATAGATTCCTCGATATCCCCCCGGCCGCTTCACCGTGCGTCGAAACAAAAGAGAGCAGAGGGCTCCGCTGTTGTGTGCACGGGGCGGCTGAAGGCGCAGCAGCACCCCGTTCGGTTTGGACAGCAACAACGCCTCTGCCTCCCATCAATTAGCGCAACTCGGCCGCGCTGTTTACAACCAAGCTCGCACACACGCGCGCACACGCGCACACATCCCACGCCGAAACCACCCACGATGACGCCCCGATGAAGAACGCTACAATTATTTCCATCTCACGTCGTAACATCAGGCAATGCTTTGCATAATTTATTTAAGGCTAGTATGGTTTTTATATATGAACAAAAGACAACCACGACCGTGTTCAATATATGCCCCTGTCTGGTCCAACACGCCGTGTGAACGAGAGAGAATACACGCATAACATCCCTGCCGTCATTGACATGACATTTCAAATCCACGCAGGATGTAACGGACAGAGGGATAAATAAACAAGTCACCGGCAATACCGTGACAAGATAACGGTGATTGTACACGCGGTGTAATCGCACGGGAAACAAACACACGCAGAGACACCGAGACACGGACAGACACCTACGTGCGAATACAAACCGAAATGAGCACGCGACGTGTTGCGCTGCTGCTACTGCTGCTACTGCTGCTTGCGAGTGGTGCATACATTCATTCGTTCGCTGTGTGCCCGCCGCGCATTGCAACATCCTCCTCCTTCCTACCTGCGGTATTTCTCTCGCAGGTCTCCCTCGCTCCCCGCCTTGTCATCACTCTAGCGGCGATAACACAGAAGCGGGCGGGGTCCTGCGTCCCTGTCTCGCTCCCTCTCCGCTTCTCTCTCTCCTCTCTCTCGCTGTCGCTCCCACGCTCCAGGATTCTTCACGATGGACGCGTGCGTGCCCGTGAAGACGCACGCGCAGCCGAGTCTGCAAGCCGCCGCTGATATTACTACCTACGCCTCCGCCGAACGCCGTTACCGCCGCCCCTGCTGGGCGATGACTTCAGCGCCTCTGCCCGTTCGTTCGTGCCGGGATCAGTCGAGATGCGCCGGTGACGTCACGAGTGGAACAAGCGGAGACGAAGAAGAGCGAGCCGCGATCGTGCGCTCGCGCGGCACGGGACAATAGCCTCCTCGCGCATCGACACAACAACGCGGCCCCCTCCCTCCCTCCCCCAACGCACCCACACCCCCCGCCGCCTCCTCCTCCACCCCCACCACGTCCGAGCACGTCAAATGGCAGCGAGAAATTAGCCACTGAACCACTTCTACGCCAACCAGAGTCGCAACAAGTCGACTAAATATAGGGCGACGGCGACGGCGTGGCGTGGCGAGCGTCGGGGACGTGAGACTGTGCCACGTCGCACGGTGTGGACGAGTGTGTGAATGTGTGTGTGTGTGCGTGTGTCTGTGCGTGTGTGTGCGCGTGTGTGCAGCAGCCGTAGTGTCACGGTGAGCGCGCTGCGCTACGAAGCCGCTCACGGCCAACGCCAGTGACGATTATCTGAGCCGCTCCTGGGCCTCCCGTAGGTCGACGCAGCCTCAAATGAGTACCTGGTGCGATGCGTAAAAGCATTTTCACTCGGGGTACAAAGGTGACCGGGCGTAGTGTTGGCCACCCACTCCCTCGTGTGCCATTCTAGCCTTCATAGGTGCTCGTTAACAGCACTTGCCCCAACAGTCTGTTCAGGTTATACGAGGGGGGGGGGGGTCTTTGAGTAGCGGTGAGCGCGCTGCGCTATGCGAACCCGGCGACCCGAATGCGATTCCCGCTCACGGCCAACACCCAGTGACGATGATATCGGAACCCGTTGTGAGCCTCCTCTAGGTCGACTCAGCCTCAAACGAGTACCTGGTGCGCTGTTGTAAACATCGCCACCCTGGAGACAAAAAGCGGCCGAGCGTGGTCGCTGGCCACCCACCCCCTCGTGTGTGCCGTGCCGGCCCTGATAGGTGCTCGCTAACAGCACTTGCCCCAATGGTATGCCAAGGCTATACGGGGGATCTCTGTCTTTGTTTGTGGGGATGCACGACGCGAAGACGCAGAACCGTGGCTCACACGCGCAGAGGAAAGGAGGCACCCAGAGAAAGGCTCCATGCATAACCGAGCAAACGCCTCCGTGCCGGCGTGAGCCGACACGCGCGTTTGCGTCGCAGTGTGCTTGTTTGCGATTTGCGGCGAAATCGAACGGCAGATTCGCGTTGCCGTTTGTTGCGTGGTTCGCGTGAATGATCCGATGACAATAGTAATGACGCATCGGTGTCAATAATTTGTTATCGTAATAATGACTTCAAACGTGTCAACGTCGCCCTTGGCGCTGCCGCTCTGTTTCATCATTGTGTGTCAAGTCGGTGAAAAATCTATTGAAAAGGAAAAACGCGCTCGTTAATTGCACCCTTAAAAAATAACTTGCACGTAAAAGCTATGGACCGGGAAGGGGTGGGGGGTTGGTTGTTTTTGTAATGCGTGATCTGTTGCGTCAATTGGGCTGTGTTGGTGAAACCATGGCACCCGTGTGAACGTGCCCCGCTGGGTACCGGCGGGGTTGAATGTGATGAGCCAAGCTGCAAGTGCTCAGCGGGCAGGTGCCTAATTGAGTCAGCCCACACCTGGGGCTCTAACGCGAAATAATTCATTCGGAGGGAAAGCACAGTTTTAAGCTGCTGGTAAAATATAAAAGCCATCTCGGCCATTTCTATACGGCCATACATGCTTGCTCCGAATTGTAGTGGTGGCTGATTAAAGGTCGTGTTGTTAAAAGGAATCAGACGGACACATTCGAGTTGAATTGCACATCCTTTCCACTAGGTGGCATTTAACAATGTACTTTTTTTGCAGTGTAATTTTATATTACGTGACGTATAATTATCGTTTATTGTCAACGATTTGATAACACATCATGCGCATTACGATTAACATGGGTCCATAATTCTAAACATGGCTGCTTGGAATTTCTTGTAACGTGCCACTCACGGGCGATTCATTCACAATCCGGTGGTAGCCCTTGATTGAACAAGCTCGTAGTTGCAGTCAGACTTGATGTGGCTCAGTAGAGAACAGAACTGTCCCCTAGTTCACAATACACTCGAGTGTATGCAGTGTATTCACGATTTTCAGGTTAATAATCTGAAACATAAAAAAGTAGGCTTTACCCTTTCTGGCAAAAAAGCAGTTGTTAAGACGTTCAAACACCAAATAGATACCCCTATTGCAAGGCATCAAATCTGCATTTGTGGCCACACGTACTTGTGGCAAAAACATGCAAACAAATGTGCTCTGATAATATATGCATTGTCTTTGAAACGGATTGGTCTACACCAGAGACAGCCTTCTTTATGGCGTTGTCTTACCAGAGGACGCTCAAAGGCGAATACTACAAAGCCAATGCAAGTATCAAAGTATGAATAGTTCGGGTTGAGCAGTTATATATATCGGACCATTTTGCCAGTATAAAAAATTAACCCGTAAAAACAAAGTTTTTCACTATAAATCCTTTATATGCGTGGCATCGGTTTTATGTAACAGTTTCATTTTGATCACATTGGTATTTTAAATTAAATATGACATTTTTTTCCCCTAAAAAGTAGAACATTTTGGAAAAAATTTTTCACGAAAATAAATTGTCACGCACAACGAGTCTGTGTGCAAAATGTCCGCTCGATTGGATCACGGGAAGTGGGTTAAAAAACGACCGAAAGATTTGCACGGTCGTAAGCGCGCAAGCAAGCAAGCAAGTGAACTTAGTAAAAATTAACCCGTAAAAACAGTTTTTCACTATACATCCTTTATATGCGTGGCGGCTAGAGTCCTCTCCTCCTCTGGCTTGAGATGGCTGCCACCTATGGGTCAGATGATTGCCTGCCACCATTAAGCAATTGGTAATTAAATATTATTTTTTTTTTCTAAAAAGTGTAAAATTTTGGAAAAAAATTTTCACGGAAATAAATTATCACGCACAACGATTCTGTGTGCAAAATGTCAGCTCGATTGGATCACGGGAAGTGGGTTAAAACACGACCGAAAGATTTGCACGGTCGTAAGCGCGCAAGCAAGCAAGTGAACTTAATATAAAGGATTTAATAAAGGATTTAAAAAAGAACAAAAATGGTTAAGCATATTATTATTATTTTCGTTATTTTCATACTGGCAAAAATATCCAATAGATGCATCTGAAACATCAGAATGTCAAGCCGATATACGAATTTCAAATGATCCGAAAATGTTTTGTTTGTTTTTTGATTGATCCGAAAGTGTGATGTCAAACGAAATTACATCACTCGTAACTCATCACTTCCATTATTTTCCAAGCACCAAAAGTGGTTTCATGTGGAATTGGATGACGTCACCTTTGTTCACACAAATGCACTTTAAAGTACCACGTACTCGAATGTAAATAGTCCACAAATTTGAAAAGAAAATATAAAATTTCGGATAATTCTGAAATTTCAATTTATTTAATCTGAAGCTCATCCCGAGTAAATATATACAAGGTGATCCATTCATAGATGCCCCACTAATTTCTTCTCAACAGGTGATTGAATCATGGGAAAGCAAATCAGACCGTCTATATTGGACAACGTGAATCAGGAGAGTAGTTCAAGATTTGATAAATGTGTAGTGATGGAAAATGGATCACTACAGCGCGTAGCGCTAAGTGTTGTAAAACAAGGAAATATGGGTGCAGATACTAGCACATCGTGCAGGACCATACGGTTGGGTCACTAGGGGTGTGGTACCGGGTGCTAGCAGAAAGAGGCAAATGAGTTCTACCGACAGAATTAAGGAATAGTAGCCACTCCGCCAGCGCAGCGAGTAATTGTCACATACTTGGTCACGGGGGAGCGTGGTGCGGGCTGCTGGCGGGGGGGGGGCATGTGAGGACGAGTCGCCCCGGCATCGGGTGAAGCACGTGATGGGCCGGGGTGAGGAGTGGGGGGGAAAGGTGACAGAGGGGACACGGGAAGTGTAGCCGGGAATCTTCTGGAGAGTTCCTGAAGGGGGCGTGATTAAGGGCGGAGCCGGGCAGGTGGCACGTGCAAGGCAGTCTGGAACCTTCGGGCAATGTTCCAGAGTGGGGCACGGCCGAGGGTGGAGCCAGGTCGCGCCAAGAGGGATAAAAGGCGAGCCCCGATCGCATATCGGGGCTGTCTGCAGGTGAAGTGGAACCCAAGTGCTACGTCTTCGTCTCCGTCTCTGACGTCGTGGGTCAGACAGCACGTTGGCTGCTCTGATCCGGTTATAGTTATCCCGTGTGCGCAAGAGATAGGCGTGTTATAGTCCCGTGTGTAACGGTGTTATGTAATGTAGAATAAATGTTGTTGCCTTCTGAATAGCGGTTCCGAAGTGACTCACTACAAATGTATTGAGATTTGTACGAGACATGCAGAGGCTTCGAAATAAATTGCTGTTTTCTCTTTGGTCTCTCTCCCTTTTACTTTAGTGGGATATCTACACTTGGATCACCCTGCATGTATGTGTTGCTACTCGATTGGGAGACATGAAAACATGAGAAACAGTCAATATTTATATTGCCTGTTACCACCCGCATCCACTTTTGGTCATACAGCATCGCATAATCCTTGATAATTAAGAGCTGTAAACCAACTGTCAAAACGATGAAATCATATATTTATTAAAAAAACTAGGTCTGAGCGTGATTTTTCAATGTTAATACATTTTGTATTTCACGAAATTATATATTTACATTATAGCGCCATACTGTATAAATTGGAAGTTTAAACTTTTTTGTATAAGTGTCATGCGTTTGCTCAACATGTCACTAACTCTTGCATACATATCAGGGATTATAGAGGTGACATTATAATTTAGAATTTATATTATATATACAATATTGGCTTTAAAAATACCAAGACAGCTTTTGTATAGTTCATGGCATATCTCTATTTAATATGTTTGCCCTTTTCAGAATACAAAGTTTGTAAAGTTACGAGTTAAATAGTAGTATAGCGATCAAATGGATTCGCTTCAAAAGTAAACTTGCACTTCATAGGTCAGAGTGTATGGGTATAATTGACTCGTGAATAGGCATCAAGTTATACTATGTAGTGACATTGTGGGAAATGACATCGTGGGATATCACTGTGCTGTGCCGGCCCTAGAGAGGCATGGCACGCGATGTAG